CGCCATCCCCCTTCACCCCCCAACCCACACTACGACAACTGATCCAAGATCCCCTTCCCCCTTTTTCTGGCCTTCTCCAAATCCTCCAGAGACTTGACAAAGTCGTTGACCTTCTCCTGCAGCACCCTGGTCCTCTCTCTGTTGAGCCGCAGACATCTGGCCACAGAGCTCCGGGAGTAGAGATCTTCCTCCTCCGCGTGCTCCCTGTTCACAATCTCAAGCAGCTGGCGCCGGGTCTTAGAGGTCGGGTGACCTTGACACACCACCGTGCTGAAGGTCACGGGGGGCGGTGGAACGATGGACACCTTCTCCCCCGCCCGTCCAGATGTTCCAGCAGACGCTGAACGCTCCGCGGAGCCGGATCCTATACTCGTCTGAGGCCGCCCCGCGCGAGTGTGTGACGTACGAGTGAACATCGGCGTGCTTCGCGGAGAGCTGAGAGAGCGTGCGCTCCCGACCCGCCGCCTATAGCTGATGTCAGAAGCCTCAAGAACCTGCGTGTACCAGTGGTCCGGGTATTTCTCCAGCTTCATGTTGTCCATCAGGTTCTCCAGTAGTCCTAACGGTTTGCCAGGAACTTGCTGACCGGGTGTGCCAGGTGTCCCCGGTGTCCCCACGCTGTTCTTCCGCCGGCCTCTCCTGGACATATTATTTTGGTTCTGCTGCCGGAAGTTGTTGCGCCCGAAAGGACCGGAAGTGGCGGCGACGACAACATCGCTGTCCGGTTCCGAGTCCAAGTCGAAATGTTTGAGGAGTCTCTGCCCGTGCGTCTCGCCGCGGCGTCGTCTGTTCTCTTCCTCCTCATCGTTATCTACGATGTTCTCATCAGCGTTGGGCAGCTGCACGTCGATCGCCCTCACCCGCCCCGCGTACACGGGGTCAGAGGTCACAGGGGAGGGGCCGTGGGCGTGGCCGGGGGTGTGGCCGGGGTGGTGATGTTGTGGGTCCGAGTTCTCTGACGTCACGAAATTAACGGCTGCTGCTGTCGGGTTCTGGCCGAACACGCCCACGCGCCGGACGCGCACAACTTGGCTCTTGGGTTGACCTTCACCTTGACCCTGGCCCTGGCCTTGGCCTTGGCCTTGACCATCCTCGTTGTCCTCCGGCGAGGTGAGTCCAGCCGTCTGCTTGAGGTGAAGGATCTCTGCCTCTCGCGCCATCACCTGGCGGTACCGGTCCCTGCGTAGTACGTCTGGTTT